ATTTAAATTATGTGGACAGCGTCACTGAATGAAAGAAGATTGAAGTTTTTTTTCTAATCTAAAGAAGTAGTCTGTTTCTGAAGTTGCTTAGGGGGGAATGATCAGCTATTATTTTATAAACATTATTATTGATAAAATTCCGGTAATAGCTTTTCCTGACTGCCAACTTATGAGCAATGATGGCAAAACTGTTGCATTTAGAAGCTTTATATTTTATATTTTAATTTTTAGTCATGTACATTAACTTGTAGGATGAGTCGAGAGATGCAGTGCTCCTTGTATTTGTCAAACAAACAAGATCTCCCGAATGCCATGAATGCTGCAGAAATCACGGATAAGCTTGGTCTTCATTCTCGTCGTCAACGCCACTGGTATTCAGATCCATTTTTGTTATGTCCGTGATTTGCCTACCTTTTTCTTCTTTCTGATTATCGGATTATGGTGTTGGGTTTTCATTGCAGGTATAACAAACACGTGCCACCTCTGGGGAAGGACTTTACGAGGAACTGGATTGGCTGTTCAACAATATAGCCAATAAAACGTAGGGTTAAATTCTGCTTTTCCCGTATGGATGTTTGTTTTCTATAATTATCTGATTTATATTTGTTTGCTTTCCGTATCTGTATATCAGGCTTAGAAGAAGATAATTTTTTAGGAACACTGCAATCTTGCTTGGCTTCGTGCTTGTTATGTCGTGGATCCGGTCTTTACTTTGTTACTGCATACATTGTTCTTTTGTTTTTTTGTTTTTGTTTTTGTTTTTTTTTTTAACTCTTTTTTAGATAAATGATACATGATACTGTGTTAGCAATTAGTAGGGGTGTAAATGGGCCAGGCTGGCCCAATCTACAGCCCGGCCTACATTAAGTCTGGCTTGGCCCGACCTTTCAGAAAAAGTAGAGTAGGCTTAGGCTTTTAAGAAAACCTTTTTAACAAATAGGCCGTAGGCCAATTTTGCCAAGCCTGGCCCAAAGTCTTGTAGGCTGGCCTATTTAATTTATGGGTTTTATTAGTATCATGTTACATGACCCAAGAAAACTTTCCTACACACACAATTAAGAGGTGGGGTCAACATATTTTTTTTTCTCTTTCATCATTCCACTTTCTCTCTCTTCTTTATTGTGAGAGTAGGAAAATTTTCTTATATCATGCAACATTATTTTCATAAAACCCTTAATTTATTAAAAATAAAATAATATTTATTTTATGTGACATGGCAAAGTTGTTGGGCTTCCTCCTTCAATGCTAAGCCCAAGTCCATTTGAGGGGTTTACTAAAAATCCTAACCCTAATTTCCACCTCCTCTATATGTATTCATTAGTTGTGGGTGGAGGCTAGGTTAAGAGATTAGAGAAAAATTTGAGAGATAATTATTTGATTGTTTGAGCAAAGCTTTATGCTTTGCATTTGAGAAATCTCTAAAGAGAGTTTGAGTGAAACATCTCTAGGGTAGTTTGATTATCACCATTGTTGGAGAGGTTGAGTTAACCACCACATTGGTGATTCTGATTATTTGTAACCATTATTTTCATAGTGGATTTTTGATCTGGACTAGGTCCCGTGAGTTTTTACTTCTTCATTGAAGAAAGTTTTTCCACGTTAAATCTGGTTGTGTTCTTCTCTTTCTTTCTCTCTCTCTCCTGTTTTGTGATTTTTCGTTTTGATTTTTCCGCTGCGCTGCCCGACCTGGTGAAGTTCAGGCCGATGTATTGCCGAGATCCGAGAGCAGGATCTTGTTGATTGACTTCCGCACAAAGGCTGCTTAGCCGAGCTTGAGGGAACCGATTTCCCAACAAAAGTACCTATACCAACCTTAATTTTTAGATGAATGACATTCTCTTGTAGACTTTATTTCAGCACCCAATAATTGTATTTTTCTTATTTTTTTTCATTTCTTTGACTCTATTCATCTATGATATACATTCTAGAGTTGAGGTATTATGTTGACTCTTTCTTGTTTGTTATTTTTTTTCTTATGAGAAGTACTAATGCATGCATGAATGAAACTTTCTCTGCTTTATACAATTATTTTTTTTGCTTAGTATTTACGGTGGTAGGCCTACAAGGTCTGTAGGCCATGTCGGACTTTCTTATTTTTAAAAATAGGTCGGGCTTGGCCTACAAATAAAGACTTTAATAGGCCAGTAGGCCAGATAGACTGAGTTTTTTTTTACGTAGGCTTGGGCCAGGAAGGCCAAAGCCCAGCCCATTTACACCCCTAGCAATCAGCGTTTGTTCGTGAAGATTCTAAATAATTAATGAATTACGAATTATACACATGTCTCTATCCTGTCTGTTTCAGAATTCGTCATTAGTGATTGTTGTCAAAATAATATTTTCATTTTGACCTTTGATTTATTAATTGATCTGGTGGATGTAGTAACAAATTTAACTTCATGATACGATGACTAACAGAAACCGCACCGATAAATTCCGATTGATTCTTCTCCTTTGAACAGTGTTTTTCCTATAAAGTAATTAGAACCAAAGAATTTTGTAACTGAACCAAACGTGGGATTTGTAGATGGGTGTAAAGATGGGAATTGTCTTTTTGTTTGAGGATAAATTCATGAATATTTGCATTTAACTGAAAATTTTCTATGGTAAAGTTTTTCAAAGTAAGATTTCTTTTCAAATTCTTTTTGTGCAATTTATATAAAAATTAGTTCATGTATAGAAAATTTTAATGATTTTGGTACCATGAAAATTTATTTTTAAATTATATTTTTGACTATATATTTGTACCCTCTCGCCTGGTTTGCAGCAGGCTTCATATGACCCGGGTGTTAATAGGCTCGGCAGAAAAACGTCTGCGTGTGTTTGAGCTTTAAAGCATAAACTAAGCTAAGTCTAAGATTTGTTGTACCTTCCATCTCGACTTATATTAAGCCCAATACGCCTTTGGTGTTAGCCGTGTTGTCCAGTAAGTTGACAACATGTTCACTAGTATGGATGGATGTGGAACCGGTTCAGTCAATCCGATATCTTTCGCTTATCTGATATTCAAGAATATGTTTACAAATTGCAACATGGCAAAATGAACATCACAGACTATTTCACAGAGAAGATGTTTACAAATTGCAACAAGGCGAAATGAACATCACAAACTTTTTCAGAGTTGAAGACTCTACGGGACGAACTTGATAATCTTCTTCTCTTGCCTGCTTGTACCGGTCCTATTATCTGCAATTGTGGTCTTCTTGAATTGATAATAACACATAAAGATCAAGATCAAATGCTCATGTCAGGTCTCAACTCATGCTATAACTTAACAATGTACAGGACTAAAAATTAAAACAAAATATAAAGCTTCTAAATGCAACAGTTTTACCATCATTGCTCATAAGTTGGCAGTCAGGAAAGGCTATTACCGGAAGTTGATCAATAATAATTAATGGTCATAAAATAATATAGCTGATCATTAATTCTTCACTCTAAGCAATTTCAGAAACAGACTACTTTTTCAGATCAGAAATTCCTTTTCAATCAGTTACGCTGTCGACATAATTTGAATTCATGAGATACACACAGTGTGAACACCTTATTTTGTCAGCACCAAGTGTCTTCTATTTACCTCATTCAACATCCGATGGAGCTCATCTCTAGCCTCAACAACACGGTCACGATCATTTCTATCCACAAGCCCATGTGTGTTTTGGAAGACACCTCTATAAAGGATGTATCTGTGATTGCACCATTCTAAAGATCATTGATGGAGAAATGTTAAATCAAAATATATGCTAGTATTCTATAATATGGACTGCATCCTTATTTAATTGTTTCTTCGCTCAGTTCGGTGAATTAAGAATTTGCATGGGAACTATCTTTTTTTTTTTTTTATATATATATATTGACTTTGCATGATGACCGTACGTACACCGTTAAAGATGTTTATACTTACATCGTCACTTTCTGATTGGCTCTTTTCGGCCTTGATTTCACGTCAGTATCAGTACGATACAATATGCTCGGATCTAACTATTAATAAATAATCAAGCAAATAAAGTAGTGAAGGTCCTCAAGCAAATGAACTAACAATTATTTTTTTGGATGCACATGTAATTAGTATCAATAATTAACTTTTTAATCGGTTACATTTTAATTCATAATTGATTATTTATTTTCATATGTTATATTTTAAAAAATAACAAACCATTAGGACTAGTCTAATGGTGAGAAATTTAGGTAAGTTATATTTGATTATATATTCAATTTTCACTTGTATAAAAAAAAAATAAGAGATAAAAAATAACTGCATTCATTTAGAGAAGGGTCGCACGGTAATGCATATAATAATTCGGAATTCAACGAAACAGGCGTCCTTGCATCTCATGTTAATCAACGATCATGAGATTGAGAGAAGATTAATGCTCGAAAGCTACGCGCACGTCAAACATATATAGATAACATAGTTACATCGCTCGTTACAATAATGTTTAGTTTGAAGACGTGCAACATTGGACCGAATAGTGTAAGCAACTAAATACCAATAGTGTGTAAGCATTGATGATGGCTAGACTGCATATCGTGATGCTTTTGGTATGCAGTACAAATTGTAGCGTAAAAATCGTTAATGTTATAATTGTAATCATCATCAATATTGCAATTATAATCATCATTAATACTGCAATAGTAACAAACGGTGTTAGAAACAGAAATTATATATATATTTTTAATGTATATCATAGCTATAACAGAAATTAAGGGAGAAAGATATCAATCAATCAACAGAAAAGGAGAAAAATTGCCACGAAAATAAAAAATTCATTTAATGAAATGAAAGATATATCCACAGCCCATGGCTTATAATGGAAAACAAATTAATCAGACTCATAAAAAAAAAGGTTAAATAACGACAAGCTATATGATATGTGATTCGCTATACGGGAAGGACATCCAAATTAAAACCATACTCGTTTAGTTAGAAGACCCAAAAACGAAAAAAATAAATGACGAATATTCTCAGCTCAACTTAATTGCTGTACTTGACGCCATTAGCTTCAATATGTCTCATCGTCATAAACCTCCCACCACATGTCCACCAATTTCTTGATATCTTGTCTGTCCATGTTCTCCTCCTTCCCAGTGAACCTCCATGGCTTAGACCCCTAAATGAAACAATAACCATATATATATATAGATATCAACAATTCATCAAATCTCAAAATGAAACAAAAATTAAATTCATAAATTTATAGAGAAGCATAGTTAGAAATTGCACACTCACATTAGTACAGTAGTGAACCACTTTAACTTTTTCAAAGTCAACATTCTCAGGGTGACGCCACAACATGGCCAGCATAAGGTTGTACACATTAGGTATGGGCTTGTATTTGGCCTTGAAGTACATATTCAGAAAGTCCTACAACACATGAAAACAAATTTACTATTACCCTCTGCGGTTGAATAATTCGATTTATTTATTTCATAAATAACATGTATGTGCTTTCAATTAATTGAGTTAACCTGCTCAGCAAAGGAAGTAGGCTCTGTGACTTGAAGTGTTTTCAGGAGATCATTGTATGTGTCAAGATTAGGCTCATAAACAAACATACCAGCGTTGAAATATAGAGAAGGCTGTAGGAAATCTTAGATTTATGCGGAAGCGGTTTAGGACCTAGTACATTGGTATGCTTACTGAATCATCATTGTTTCACAATTACCTCTTGGTGTGCAGGTCTCGTGTAGAATCTTCCCTTGTAGGATTCCTCTTCACGAACAGCTCACCTCAGCGCCGCAGCACGAACAACCTCCTTGAAGCTGGACTGTGGCAGATCTTCCAAACTATCTCTCGAGGAGGAAGGGGAAGTGTGTGGGCACTGATTAGATTCAGAGCTTGCCTCTTTCTCACAAAAAAAGACCTTTTTTTTTGGCTGATGACTTAAGAGGTACTATTTATATGGGTTCCAAGAAACCCTAGCTCATTGGGCTCTAGGTTCCTTGGGCTCTTCTCATATTAATAACCCATTTGGGCTTTAGTAAAAGAGCAAACCCAACAATCTCCCACTTGCTCTTTTGGATACAAACTTGAGTCGTAAAACCCAAGATCATGTAACCCATAAGTCATCATCTATCCGAAAAATACCCCATCCCTTGTCTCAAGCTAGCTTGGGGATCTACCATATGTTATTAATCAAGGCTCCTGATAATCAACGAATGATTATCTAATTCGGTGCTACTCCACTAAAAGCCCGAACTTGAACTCCAAGATTAACAACACTTATAACATGAATATGCATCGCCCCTTTCTAGAATGTCTATAATTGATTGACAAGTTTTCTGTAACTCAATCAATTATTTATTCCCTTGACTATGATAGTTTCTTTAATGGATTACATGCACTGGCCAGTGTCTTTAATATCCAAGTACCGAAACATATCAAGGGGACATATCCTACAAATTCCATGTTGTTTATCTCATAAATACCGATAATCAAATAATCTCACTCCCAAAATACCGAGTTATTGGCCGTCAATAGATCGAACCTCACCCGTTGGTAAATCAAAGAATGAAAACTATTTGATTACCTATTTATAATAAACTCAGGATTAAGAGCAATTACATAACTATAGTTAACTAGAGATTTGATACCTTATGACAGAAAAACAACCTTAATCAAATCTCTCCTTGATCCTTTCAATGTGAATGTTAACTCACACCAATATTTTACAATGATTCAGACAAAACCATTTCATAAAATATTGCAGCCTAAATAAAGTGCCCAACTTTATTTAACAGCTGTGAATCCATTCATCAATTGTGAGAACCTATGATCATGTCCTCTATGAACGTATCCATATGATCATATACTCCACAATTTGATCCGGACCTTTATGTTTGTAAATAGCGCGCAAAATAAATAAATATAACCTTATTTATAAAATTCAGAAAATGATTTTATTGTTTCATCGTCTTATTCCAAGAGCACAATAAAACCAATAACTCTCACTTGCTTAATGCAAGTCTGGGATCCTCCTAAGACCCAAAGAAGTAACATGCCTCTCGAACACAAGTTCAGGCAAACTCTTAGTAACTGGGTCTGCAAGATCCACCTCTAATGCTATCTGAGTTTAGTGAAAAATTCATAGCTCGAGGTTGATTTTCTTGAGTCAACATCCACTTGAAATAACTGAATTTTTAAAAACTCAGCTTTTCAAGACTCCCACTAGAGTATACCAGCATATAATCTCTCGTTCTCCAAAGATACTTGAGTACATGCTTAACAATTATCTAGTATTCCTCTAGGTTCAAAATGGTACTATCTCACTACTCCCACTGCGTGACAGATGTCTGGTTTAACGCCCAACATGATATGCATGAGTCTACCTTTGCCAAAGCATAAGATATCTTGCTCATGCATTCTTCCTTCTTAGAAGTCTTTGATCACTCCTTAGGAAGATGAATTCCACATCTGAGAATTATAATTCTTCCCTTAGAATTCTCATGTTAAATTTTGGCAAGAGTTTTGTCAATGTAAGTAGCCTGAGGTGATGCCAACAACTTATTCTTCCGGTCTCATAAGAGTTTTATACCAAGAATATAATTGGCTTCCCCAGTACTTCCATACCAAAACACTAACTTAGCCAACTCTTTATGCTTGATATTACCTCCACATTGTTTCTAATAAGGAGCATATCATCTACATAAAGTACCAGAAAAACTACTGTCTTCCGTTGGATCCTTTACATACAAATACACATTATTCATCAAGGTTCTCTCAAAATCAAAATTTTGATAACCTGATCAAAACTGATGTTCCAAGACCTGGATGCTTGCTTAAGACTATGAAATAGACTTTCACAACTTGCATACCGTGTGTTTCTACCCATTTGCTATAAACCCTTTTTGGTTGTAGTATGCAGATATCCTGACATCCAACTCCCAAAATGTATTCTCATAATTGAGACTTATAGCAACTAAGAGAATCTGGATAGACTCAAGCATGGCGTCTGGCAAAAAATGCCTGCAAGCTAGCTTTGAAGGTTTTCACCTTTCTGTCCATCCTCTCTTTGCCTTTTATGTCCACATGCGCCTTGTGGGTTTTACCCCTCTTGGTGTCTTTACTAGGACCGAACGGAGTTGAAATACAAGTATTTCATCTCATTGTTCATAGCTTGAGCAACACTTGATCAACAACATCTTCTAGTGCATTATCGTAACTAGTAGGATCAATATCACTCAACAAGAGACAACTTGAGAGTTAACAAGGTTCTCTCCCATTACGAATGTACTGCACTAGACCTTGTGTATTTATAGGTAAAACAAAAAGTGGGTCAAATGATGGATCTTCAATTTCTTGAGGATCCGCTTATCCTTGATATTGTTCCTTTACATGTGATACCAATATTTCTACTAGTTTCACTTATATATTATCATGTTGAATTTCCAATCATGGTTCTCTTGTTTGTTCACTTAGAGATATATCTATCCCCTCTTGAACAATCAAGGGAACAGTGGATGAAGCTTCTAGAGATTCTGGAAATTCTTGATCTGAGATAAATCTCATCAAGAATAACCTAACTTAAAAGCTTATAATTTCTCATCTAGTCCTCCTTTAAGAAAATCATGTGAGTGCTCACTTAGATTATCTTGTCCTTAAGACTAAATAAGAAATCATCCCTAGTTCTCTTAGGGTAGCCAAAAGATATGCACTCTTCCATACAAGATTCCATCTTATTTGACTGCTGTTGTAGGACGTGTGTCGTAGCACCCTAAATCCGAATATGGTTTGATCTGGGCTTGCACCCTTTCCATAATTCTTTAGGTGTCTTTACAACAAACTTTGACGGAATCAAGTTAAGAAGGTACATTTCCTTCTCTTAGGCATCTCCCTTGAACAACATTGACAAAAATGAATAACTGAACATGATCTTCACCAAGTCTAGAAATGTTTGATTTTTGCATACTGCAACTTCATTCAACTAACGCGTTCTTAGAGTTGACAGTTACGAAAACTATCCCCTCTTAAATCAGGTAAGACCTGAAATTACCAGACAGGTAGCCAAACACTTTAGTAGACCAAAATGGTTTTTGATTTGAACACCTACATGCTTTTCTGCCTCAGACTTACACCTCTTGGAAATTTTCAAAAGCGTTAGACTTATGGCGCACTTGGTTCATCTGTCCAAATCAAGAGTAAACATTCATATAATGAAGTACTCATCACCTCTTCTGGTCTGAACGCTAATTGGTCCACATACATTAGTATGTACCAGTTCCAGTTAAATAGTTGCGCAAACCTTTTTGGCCCTTGTAGGATTGCTTGGCCACTTTACCTTCCAAATAGGACTAACATGTAGCTGTTAGTTAAAAGATTCTTGAACTTTCAGTCTCTCTTTTAACTAAAACATATTTTCTACTTGAGATAATGTGACTCAATCACAAAGGCCAAAGTTATGTTTCATTTGAAACTTTTATTCTTTGGTGAAAATCCTTGTTCATCATCCTTTCCATTCAACACAAAAATTTAGGGGGTATAAGACAAAGGTAATAAAGACTATTTAAACAATGTACCAGAAAAAACAAGACGAAGATGAACTTCGAAATGTAACTGAGGAATCAATTGCATTGTCAACCCATGTTTTAACCAAAACAACTAACAAAAATTGAATTCCTCTTGAAATCTGGAACAAATAAACAGTCACCCAAAACCATAGTCTTATTAATAACTTGTCCTACTGCAAATGCAGACACAAGTTCCCAATTTCAAGCTTAAAATATCTATGTCCATTGCTGACAGGTATGCCATGTTTGAACTACTACAAAGAGTAACAAACATAATCAGTGATTCCTGAATCAATAATTCATTCACTGATCAGGCCTTGATATGCCCATGTCAGGTTCTTTTCATCACCTCTGGGCAATTTTTCTTTCAGTATCCCTTCAGTCTGCACTTGAAGAACTTGCCTTGCGGCTTCTTCATAGCAACTGGTTTGACAACTGATAACCAAGTCATTTTGTTCTTGTTACCACCCTTGGGTTTCCCTTTGGATTTAACAAGACTCTTAGCAAAACCTGCACTGACTGCATTCTGTCTAGCAGAGCTGCTAGACGCAGCAAACATGTCATTAAGAGTCTGAAGCATTTCTACTCCACTCTTAATCATGTACACTTGTTTCTGCAAGTATTTAGAAAGACTGACAATAATATAGCAGCGAACTACCATATCTGCCCTTTCCTAATCTGAGAAATGCATCTTAGTTTCCGAAGACGCATCCTCTGCAGCTTGCTATGGCCCTCGCATTGTCAGAACAAATTTTAGCTTCCATGTTTTAGAACAATATCAAAAAAATTTCTTTTCACTTATTCATAGTTGGTACTATCTAGAGGTTTTCGACTCAAAATCATTTCTAAGATATTTTCTGAAAAACATATAAAGCACACAATTACAAACAAATAATGCAATAAACAAACGAAGTGCAAGTAGATTCTCATAACTACTCTTGTTTATTGTTAACAATCCTTCAGTTTATCTTTACAAGGCTCACGATGGGCAAGTCACTTGTAAAAACCAAAATTGTTATTTGGGCCTTCAGTGCCATTGCCAGAGCCTCGATGGGAGGGTTAACAATTTTACCAAAGTTGAATGTAATTAACCATTGTTTAATTTCAAAATTATCCTTAGTGTCTAAGCATTGCCGACGATGGGCCGTACAATACTTTACTAAAATTTTGAAATTATTAAGATTTAATCTAGTGAAATCTGATTATCCTTATCCGATGGGGCTTCAGCGATAACCATTTCACTAATAAACCCACAAATGGAGCCCGCAGGTTTTAAAATTAATTAATTTTTAAAACCTTCACCCATTCAACATTTTTGTTTGAGAATTTTCATAAGCCCAGTCGAATTCATTGTAATTTCAAAATTATCTTTAATAACTTTGAAATTATTAAGGCCCAATAAAATCCAATCATGCTTATCCGTTGGGGCCTCACATGATTATTTTATTGATAGGCCCACAATGCGCCTGGAGGTTAAATTAATTTCTTAATTTAAATCTCCTCCCATAGATATTTAAGTCCAATCTAATAAAATCTAATCATGCTTATTCGATGGGACTTCACATGATTATTTTATTAATGGTCCTATAATGCGCTTGAAGGTTAAATTAATCTCTTAATTTAAATCTCCTTCCATTCAACATAAGCAACATTTTCTAATTTCCAAGAATTATTTAATTGAGAGTATCCTTTGTTTGATTTCAAAAACTATATAAGTAAGAGCGCCGATAAACGTGCACTAAGCTTAACATAATTTTGAAAGCATTAAGGTCCTGAAATCCGGTCACTTTACGTCAGCGTGTGCTCCAAACAATCATGATACATGAATGTTGTATGCAGCGTGTGTTATTCCATGACCATTTTAGAAAACCCACAAATTACTCGCAAAATAAAAGAATTCTCTTAGGAAATTTTTTCTAATTATTTTTCTAGATTTAAATCATCCAAATAGTTGACTTAATTATTAATCTAGATTGCAACAATCATAATAATTATCATTTATGAGGATAATTTGAAATCAAAATAATTTCCATAACGATTATTTGTCTTGATGTTAATTATCCAAAATTAATTAATTCAATTATTAATCTAGATTTTTAATAAAAATCATAATAATTATTAATTAATTTCTTAGGATGATTTAAAATCAAAATAATCTCATAATAACTATCATACTAGTCGCTGAAGACATAATAGCTATTATGCTCATGCAATCATACAAGTTATGCAACAATATGGCACCACCTATTCTATATGGCATGTTATCGCAATAAAGCATGTTATCAATCATATAATTTATACCAATCAATAAAAGCATTAAATAATAAATCATAATTACTTTAATCCATGACCTTCCTATTTTAAAGAAAATAAAATAAAATAAAATTAAATAATACAACTTTGGAATTCGACTTTCGCCTAGCCCATAGTATCTGTCTCAAGCCCCTTTAGGGTTTCATGGGCCCAAAAGCCCAAAGACCCAATCCTTTGGCGAGAAACCCTAGGACGCGAAAGAGGAACCCTAGCCGTCAGGTCTGCCGCGCCGTCACCCGAAGTCAAATCAGGCTGAAACTCCAGGAGAAGGACCGCCACGTAGAGACGAGTGCACCGCCGCCGGAACCACCCAAAAAGGTGGCCGGACGCTCCCTCACTCTCCCATTATTTTCTGGAGAGTGGCGGCCACTCTCAGCCTCTTGTGGAGGCGCGTGGTGGAGCGTGGAGTCTCCGATGGCGGTGATCCACCCACCGTTGCGTTCGTATTTCCGTCCTCTTTCCAACCATATATAGATCTTCTGATTCCGAGATCGGGAAGACCTCAAAAAGTCTTCGACAGTACTGACTGCGCATCTTACTCGCGGTTTCTCGATCTTGAACTTTTACAAAATATTGGAAAAATACACAGAAATTTCGAAAATAAATAAAAACAGCAAGGAGGAAACCTAATCATATGGGATTAGCCTCCTTGTTACAAATCGAGAAATACACGAGAGACCCTAACCATGGATTAAAGCATTTTTACCGATTAAAATTTAAACTTTTATGAAAATGAATTATAAAATACACATGCTAGATTCATACCATAATCCTAGAATCCTAGGTGCCACATTTCAAGAAGCAAAACTAATTACATGAATAGTGAAACTAGATTCACATACCAATGTACAGCCAAGGCTCTGATACCAATTGTAGGAAATCTTAGATTTATGCGGAAGCGGTTTAGGACCTAGTACATTGGTATGCTTACCGAATCATCCTTGTTTCACAATTACCTCTCGGTGCGCAGGTCTCGTGTAGAATCTTCCCTTGTAGGATTCCTCTTCACGAACAGCTCACCTCAGTGCCGCAGCACGAACAACCTCCTTGAAGCTGGACTGTGGCAGATCTTCCAAACTATCTCTCGAGGAGGAAGGGGAAGTGTGTGGGCACTGATTAGATTATGAGCTTGCCTCTTTCTCACAAAGAAGACCTTGGAGGCTGATGACTTAAGAGGTACTATTTATATGGGTTCCAATTCCAAGAAACCCTAGCTCATTGGGCTCTAGGTTCCTTGGGCTCTTCTCATACTAATAACCCATTTGGGCTTTAGTAAAAGAGCAAACCCAACAGTTACACACCTATTTATTTATTAATTTATTTTCCTAAGTTACTCAACCCACATTTGAGATAACAAAGAAATTTAGAAATTAACATCTTTGAAGGAATAAATTTTTAGTACTAATATTCAATGGGATGATGATATTATAATTACATATTTTTAGGAATATATAATTATAATATTAAATTTTTTTCTCTCTCTATCTCAGTAGACAAGTTTCTGAAAAGTTTACGAAGAAAGAGAATTTTTTTTTTAATATTATAATTGTATATTTTCTAAAATACGTAATTATAATACGGTTGTTGCATTGAGTAATCAGTTCGAGGATAGTCCTAAAAATTTGTTCCTTTGAGAAAGAAAAGAAAAGCCAAAGCCAAAGCGAAAAGGGAAAGTTGGTTGAGCTAACCTTATAAGATATACTTCCAGTTCATTTGGTGTGTATATAAATATATATATATATATCTTCATCACTCCAAAGTTCAAGAGAAACCCTCTATTGTTTCTGTAAAGGGAACCAAACACTTGTTTTCTTTTTTTTATCTTCTATCCAACTTTAAGGGTAGAGAAGGGAAACGAGAGAGAAAGAAAATAGGGAAGTGATGTCAACAACGTCCCAAACTATTGTTAACCACAGTTTGTTTGAAGATCAAGATCAGATCCCTACGCAGATGGGGTTCATTCCTTTCTCAGCAAATCTTACCTTCCCTTCTTTGGGTTGCCATCCATCTTTGAAATCCATCAGTGTAATAGCTCCTTCACTTTCTTCTGAAGCCGCTAATTCTACTGCAAATTTTGCAGAAACCCTACTTGCAACCTCTGTTCAAAAACCACAAGATCTCACTTCTATTTTTGGAGGAGGATCGAGGGTAAATTCAGGGTGAGATAACTGCACTTTATAATTTTCACAATCCACCATGCATGTTAGCCATTTTGATTTTTTGTAATGAAACTGTTATAACAAGGGTTGGATATTGTGGTTGCATATGATTGAATTTAGGGCATGGGGAGAAGTAACAGATTACTTGATTGGTAAAAGAAGTGGAGGAGATGATCAATATCTAGGGGTTTCTGCCATGAAGATGAAGAAGATCAAGGCAAGAAGGAAGGTGAGGGAACCAAGGTTTTGCTTCAAGACTATGAGCGATGTGGATGTGTTGGATGATGGCTACAAGTGGAGGAAGTACGGGCAGAAAGTGGTAAAGAACACACAACACCCAAGGTATTAATTTTCCCAATTCAAATTTTTTCTCTTTTTTTGTTTGGCTTTTTAATAGTGACTACTGCACAGATCAACAAAAGTTGAAAGCTAGCATGTTTGTTTAAATTCGATATGTTCTTTCTCTCTCTCTCTCTCTCTCTCCAACCTCTTGACCCCTCTCTCATTATTGCTTTAGACTTTTATCAGAATTGTCTATTTGGTTTGGCTCACTATTGGTTTTGGGAAGGTTTTAATTTTGGTGCGTAATACCAACATGACTACAATCTTTAATGGTATGAAAGTCAGATTTTACTTTGTCTTGTGTGAATATATTATGCAGAAGAGTATTTTTGTAAGGGAGAGGATGAAAAATTGCCAATGTTATATTAAAGAACTAATTAGGAATCTTAGATGTGTGTAGTATGTAAAAGTACAAGAACGCAGAATTGTTTTTCCTTACTCTCATAGTGAATATATATATGATGGCATTGCTAATTTGCTAGCAGACGTCTAAGTATGTTCTAAGACTTTTCCCCACAAACATACATATACAAATTTGCTAATTTGCTAATTTCCTTTAGAGGATTTTCGTGTCTTTAGAGGAATGTCTTACTGTGGAAACATACATATACAAATTTGTTAACAAACTTGAGGTCACCAGCTCAAAGGGTGGAAGTGCTCAAGACCTTATAAACTCCACATTAGTTGCACATACAACCAATGTGAGACTATATATCTTAACAAAATTAAATAGCGAACGTTTTTATTATAATAGCTCTAGTAAAATTGATATTTGGGTTCTGATTTTACCATCAATATTTGTTCAACAATGATTCAATAATCAATAATAATGTCAATTGGACAGGGGTATTACAACAAAGGGATACCAAAGAATTTTGTCACGCCTTGTCATACTTCGTTTATCACTTTTACTCATGGTGTTTGAAATTGTTACTGGGAGGTTGAAAATTTTGCCAATTGACATAAACATCTCTCTTATAATAGGTTGCTGTTTTCTGCAAATTAAAATAACTAAGAACTTGCATAATTATCAGAAAATGCAAAAGATCTTTGGAAATCTAGATTTGAAAAAAATGATATATGCCACTGGGATGCAGCTAGCTAGTGTTGAGAACTTCTGGTTCAAACTTGTATGTTATATTGAGAAGAATGGGTAGGAGAATGAGGATTATAAACTGTGAATGACAATTAAAGGGTTGGCCTAATGCATGGTTGAAGAGGGTGTGATCCTTGACTTCTTGTTTACTCAAGAACATTTAATAAGGGAATGAATTCTAATATATATACGAGGCTAATGTGAGAATATATATATATGTGCTAGCTCTTAATATGGCCTTGGGAGAAACTTAATTGGGTCGACACAAGCATTATCGCCAAGTTTTTTTTTTTTTTTTTAATCTCACTCTCGCTGGCACTTGTAGGCTAACTTAGGGGCAGAACTAGAAAAGTTGAAGTCAGGGGTATTGAATACATACAGGTAAAAACTTTTAAAGAATGAGTAAATTCACCTATTCATAGGTTTTGCTTTAAGAGAAAAATATGTATCATTTTAAAAGATATAAAATTATGTTATTTTAAGTGAGAGAAAACGATAGATCATGGGAGAGAGAGAGAGAGTGGAAAAAAAAAAGTGTGAGTTTCACACAAGAATGAAATGATATAAATTATGTATTTGAAGGACAAATGCTTTTTTCATAAAAAATAATACAAAATAATCGAAGTACAAAAATTTATCGTAGTTACGCACCAGAGTCCAGGGGCAAAGTAGGGGCTGATAGCTAGGGGTAAAATAGATTGGGTTGAGTTAAGTTGGGCCAGGCTAAGCTCTTAAATAAAATGGACCTGATAAAATATTTTAAGTTTAGCATCAACTATTAGTTTGATATAGGCTAAATTATACATCATATATTATTATATTAAAAAAATCAAAAGGCCTGACTTAAATCAATTTATCTTGTTTAAGCTTATAAGGCCTTCAAAAATTTTAAAAAATAAACTAAAATAACATTATTTTATTATTTCAAAAATAATTTTCATCTCTAATGGATCTGTTTTATTTTACTCAATATATTAGGTCATCAAATCTGGCTTGACATAAGCCAAGTCATATGTCCCTGAGCCATCCAACTTATTTACATCTCTAATGTTTTTTTTTTTCTTCATGCTTCATGTGAACATCCATTGAATTTTTTAAAAAATTTCTGAATTATATATATAATTTGATGTTTGGTCCTGTCAAAAAGTTTATACTTTGTATTTGGCCACGTCAACGTGAAATAATTCTTAGCTTTGCCCCTGTCTGGTCGTACGTGTCATTTTACATTTTTTCTCTATATTCTACAACTATACGCTATATTTCTCTATTCATGTGTTTTTGGGTACACTTTGTCTAGAAGCTACTACCGTTGCACCCAAGATAATTGTCGAGTAAAGAAACGCGTGGAGCGCTTAGCTGAGGATCCAAGGATGGTGATAACCACATATGAAGGGAGACATGTGCACTCTCCATCAAATGAACTTGAAGACTCGCAAACTTCATCTGAACTTAGCAATTTCTTGTGGTAGTGTACACGAATATAATATTTACATATGTATATTTCTATCCTAAGGGTGTGTTTAATTTGTAGAGATGAAGACGGAACAAGTAGAGAGGGAAATGAGTAAAAATTGACAGTGTATCTAGGAAATGATGCATGCTTTGATTCATTGTCAATTTTCACTCCTTTTCACCCACTCCTCCCATTTTCACCCATTCTAGAAGCACACCATAAGATTGTGACTCTGTTTAATTTCTATTTTTATACCATGCATGCGTCTAAGTCAACCACAACAAGTGTCTTTAATAGTGTTGGTGGTGTTTCATAAAATCTCAATAACAAAACCCATTAACATTTGTAAGTTGCCTGTTGGGCTTATGCTCTATAAATTTTTGTCATAAATTCTTTGGCGTCTGTCGTAATACACATTAAAAAAGTAAATATAAAAGTCAATTCCTACAATGATATATTTGAAAATAAAATAAAATAAAATAAAATAAATTTACGCTTTTCTTAAATGGCGTGGTGAGTGTGACAAATAATTCCTACCGGAATTGATACTCTCGTATGGTAGTTAATATCACTATATGTTATATCGGAAAATCCTAATTATTCATGGATAAATCAATGGTGACGGAGAATAAGAGAGAAAAATATTAAAATAAAAAATAACAAAATTATCATCATTGATTTATCCATAAATGATTATGATTCTCTGATAACTTGATATAATTATATTAATTAACGCATGAGACGATATGTTATCCCGTGCGGGAGTGTGAAAATACAAAGGACTACTTGGACCATAATAAGAATACAAAGGACTACTTGGACCATTTAAGCAAGTACATATAAAAATAAGAGTAAATACTCTTTTTAGCCCCTGGCAATATCTACGAAGCCCTTTTCAGTCCCTAGCAATAAAAAGGGGACAAATTGGTCCCTGAAATAACAAAAAAGAGGTCACGTTCATCCTTCTGTTAACTCCTACCTAACGGCCCAACGAACGGTGCATAGTTGGCACGTTAGTTTGCTGACGCGACTTGGATGTGGGACACCGTGAAAGACGAGACGATGACGTTTTGGTCCCTGTCAAAACCACGAGGGCCATTTCGGTCCCTGTCAAAATGCACGAGGACGTTTTTAGTCTCTGACAAAAAGCACGGGGCCCTTATTGGTCCCTAACCAGAGAAAAATAGGCACATGACTTCATTGCTTCTCTATGCAGTCCAATTTTGCAAAACAGAAGTGCATTACATCAGAAACAGGAGTGCAATCCAATTTTGCAAAACAGGAACATGACATTAAATTGGATTTGTATGCAGTCCAATTTGTTAAACCAGAAGACATGGATGTACATGAACTACAACTACGTATATTAGTTAAAAAAACATCAAAAATGGTAAACTTAAACATTCATCAACCCTGTGAAACATAATAGCTGGAACATGATTTGAGTATCATTATATTTGAAGACATGGATGCACAGTAATGCATTACAAAATAAAGCCAACTGCCAAGAATTAAAAGAAAGGCCTCTAATACAATATGGCCAGAATTTACAAAAAAAAAAAACATTGACATAATAAGGCCTACAAATACATAATGGCTAGAATTTTCAAAAAACAGTTAGTCACATAATAATAAACCCTTCTCAGTTGGCTTATGCACTACTCCCAGGTCATATACAGCAGCAAGTCATTTTCTTGAGGCAGGCTTTGGTGGCCTAAAACCAGGTGTGCTCATGAAGGCCAATAATCTGCTTCGTGTGCCACTGGTTGCTGCATGCATTGTTTCATTACTCAACAGCTCATTTGCGTGTTGTGGATTTGATGGAGGTGGGCTGCTTCCTCTCAAGTTGCCTTCATGTGGCCGAGAACTACCAACTGCTGCAGTCCAGTCAACTGCCATGCATTGCAATTATCAACAATCATTTACCTGGCTTCTTCTCTGTTTTTTCTCTGTATTTAAATATCAAAAATCATGCAATTATTTTTTATAGAAAAATAAATAGTATAATTGTAATGCTACACTACTGAAGATATTGTTCGTAAATCGCATAACGTTATGTCTTATACAGACTAAGAGAATTAAAGCAGTTCATAGTATTTTAGGGAGCGTAAAAGCTGTTTGCAAGAGCCAAGAATCCCTTTTAACAAAGTGGGAAGCTTAATTAGCATTGAAAAAGAAATGAATAATCGTTAATAAGGTCGAAACTTCAGTTAGAAACACAAACTTCATTGAAATAAAATGCCAAGAAGGAGTATTTTACTTTGTGATGAAATTTAGTTTAATTACTTTGTGATGAACAAATGGATTGCACTCCTGTTTCTGATATAATGCACTTCTGTTTTGCAAAATTGGACTGCATAGAAAAGCAATGAAGTCATGTGCTTATTGTAACACCCCGTGTATACTCGGAATATTAACATTACATCATATTAAGCGGTGCTTAATTAAAAATGCGGAATATTCTTTTTCTTTTCAATTATGACGTCATTATCAATTACCAACTTGATTACTTAATCAATTTCATAAAATAACGCCTGTATGTAAATTGCAATAAGACATCTACTGAAATACCTCAATATATAAATAAAATGTGTATCTAAATCACGGCATTACATCTCGTAATCCGGACAATATCCTGATACATTATTACAACTCCAAAAGACTCAAGACATAATCAAGACATAACAATACTATGTGTCATGGACAATCCCCATGCTCACCAAATAAACATAGTAAACAACCAGTCTCAACATAAAACTCCATAAACATAACTGAAGCTATAAGCAGCATGCATAACCAGCATCCAATCATGGTAGCATAATATAACAACAATCTAACTCAGCTCCGGCCTCCTGCCGCCTGAGGTCTCAACATTACCTAACCCTGAAATAAGCATTCCCCAAATGTGGGGTTAGATCTCTAAACAAGAAATCTCAGTAAGACAAGGAATCCTCAAGGATCTTCCACCCCAAGGTCACTTACATGTGCAATATAAGTTCTAAAAGCATTTATATCATTATCAGTTCCAAAACTATGTAGTGCAACAGATATCTATGGCATGTGTGCAATCACTATCTACTGGCCAGAGAAATATAGGAATACGTCTATTCTCTACATGTAGTACAAGGAACACCGCTTGCACCTCCCCCACAGCCTCACCATCTTGTATGTTCTACATACTCAGGCTTACCGTATAGGTGGAACACCTCCATGCATATCAACAAGGCACTAACATACAATAGTTCAACAGCATTTCCAAAACATCAAAAGCATGTAACACAGCATGCATATACCATCTCCCCATGGGACATGGTGGAACCACAACATGGCTAAACCGAGGACACGAAAGCTTACCACAAGCTCAAAGTCCAATCACAGCAGATCACAATCTGATATGGACCAAATATAAATCAATAAACATGTACCACATGCATACAAATTAAAGACAACGCCTTCTCATTACGTTTTATGTCTTAAAGCTTCTAACAAAGCCACAAGCCATTAATCACATGATTCTGACTTAGTACATTAATTACAGAAGTTCAACTTCATCAATCTAGGGTCTACAAACCCCCAATAGCCTACTGTACACACAACACAGCTACTGTTCTGCGAAATCCCAGAATATCCGGATATTCCTCGGGACCATATCCGGATATGCAATATCCGGATATCTCACTGTCCATATCCGGATATGCAATATCCGGATATACAGATTCACATATCCGGATATCCAATATCCAGATATCCCAAAACCCCATATCCGGGTATCACATATCCGGATATCATATCTGGATATCCAATATCCAGATATCTGTTCGAAAAATATCCGGATATTTCATGACAGAATGCAGTTTCTGCATTTTCGTGAAGATATCCCTTAAAGGTTCCCTTTTTACCGATCTTAAACACCTAATCATGCATTTCTAGGTGTGTTAAGCCTTACCCAACAACAAGTTATCATCTTTTAACCTTAACATGCATCAAGCTTCCATTTTTAAGCCTTAAAACTCAAGTTAAAGGTTGGTGATCATACCACAGCTCAAAAACAGAAGATGGAGATGCTCTTGGAGCTCAACACAACCCCTCAAGTGTAACTCAAGGATGATGCACGAAAATGAACAAGAAGGTAGGTCTTTCACTCAACAAGAAGGCACCTTGGAGCATCAAAATGCCAACAAAAGGTCACACCCCTCAAGAACAGAAAACACAGCTCCCTCACACCTCTCACAGCAGCTGGACACTCACCAAAAGGCTCTCCTTTCACTCAACAATGATGCTCTCAAGTGTTTACAAGAAGAAAAGAGAAGGATCGATGCCAAAGGTCCCAACTTGGCTTAAGAGAAGGTGAAGGAGACCAATGGAACAGTGCTCAAGCAGCTGGTCAGCCTCTCTCACGAATGAAATATGGTATCTAGGGCAATGTGCCCTTAGTAAGTGTATAAATAACCAACTCACACTTAAACACACAGTATTAACTTTAATTGCTACGCTTAGCATTTTAATCCCAAACTTTGGATTCTGAAACTACACATTTTTCCAAGAATTAACATATTTTTATTATATTTTTCTGAGCACCTCTCCGGTAGGCGCTTTTCAGAGCCAGTACCGGTTTCTAGCACCAGTTCTCATTATTTGGACTTGAAACTCGTTTTACAAGTCCTACATATTATTCTAGTAATTATCATGCACTTACTTTAATTTTCCGGGATACTTTTTCGGTACGCATTTTTACCGACTAGCAGAACCGGTATCTGCACTTTTCTTCCGAAAAGCGACTTTCAGCATTCTTAATCACTTACCATGATTATTAAAGCCTCTTAATAATTATTAGGGTCAATTATGGAATCATTTCCTAATTTTGCATAATTAATTAATTAAATACCTTAATTAACGGTGCAGGTTCTTACACTTATTTTTCTCTGATTAGGGACTAATAAGGGTCCCGTGCTTCTTGTCAGGGACTAAAAACGTCCTCGTGCATTTTGACAGGGACCAAAATGGCCCTCTTGGTTTTGACAGGGACCAAAACGTCGTTGTCTCGTCTTCCACGGTATCCCACATCCAAGCCGCGTCAGCAAACTAACTTGTCAACTGTGCACGGCTAGTTGGGCCGTTAGGTGGAGTTAACGCAAGGATGAACGTGGCCTCTTTTTTGTTATTTTAGGGACTAATTTGTCCCTTTTTTATTGCTAGGGACTGAAAAG